ATTTGAACATTTACCTATATATATATATATATATATATATATATATATATATATATATATATATATATATTTAGGGTTTCCTATTATTTAGCTAGTTGTATATATCATGTATTTTGTATAAATATAGTCAATAATACATCGAAATATTCATTGGGGAATTATTCATTACAGAAATTAAGAATGGACGACCTCTAAATGGATAGCGATTGTGGGAGAGAAGTAATTAACTTGATGCAGTTTTTTATCGTATTAAGAATGTAGTTAATTTAGTGGATTTGATGTATGTTGAACATACGATAACAATATTACGTACTTTCGTTCAGTTTATGGTTGTCTTGGAATATATCTTTTCTTGTTCAGTGTTGAGGCAATGGGTTTGATTGTGTATGGAGGATATTATAAGTTATATATAGAGAGAGTACGGTTAAACAAAAACTAACCTTATTCTATCTAGCTTCTAGTGAAATTATAATATGATTACTTGGAAGAATGACTAATTATTAACTAACTAAAATGGTAATTGTTATAACAAGATTGCACTACGTTTGTGAGTTATACAATAAAAATACATCGCAAAGATTGGTAAAAATATAAAGCCTTTGCACATGCCTGCCTTGGATTGGAAAACCAGGTTTGTCCTAATTAATAGTCCAACCTACACTGCACGCAATGTTGAACTTCGCAGATAAACGTCCCTACAGGGACAAAATTATGCACAACACCATATATAGTGGACAATTTTGTTTTTGTATTATATTGGTCAAATCAGTTGAAACGGCATCTGCAATTATTTTATTTTATGAAAATTAAAGGGAAATTGAATGTCTAAGATATATGCTTTTGAAAAACGTAGAAGAACATCTTGTCAATTCAGAAAAAAAAGCAAAAAACTTTGACTACTACGTAGGCTTGTTGTTGAGCCAAATTCTATATCAAACACAATCCATGTGCTTTGCTATTCATCCCGCAGTATTCAGTACCATTGTAAGAAGTTACTCACAAACTGAAGAAGAGAATGAAGAGCTTCTGTTTTCTTTTAGTATTGGTTCTCCTGGCAGCAGCAACTTCATTAGAGATATCGAAGGCTGAGAGTACTTGCAAACCAAGCGGTGGTATAAGGGGAAAAAACCACCTCATGGAAAATGCAACCGTGAGAATGACTCGGATTGTTGTGTTGAAGGTAAGTTTTACACCACATACACATGCTCGGCTCTGGGGACAAGTGAGACAAAAGCAACACTTACACTAAACAGTTTCCAAAAAGGAGGTGATGGCGGTGGTCCATCAGAGTGTGACAAAAAGTACCACTCTGATGACACACCCGTTGTGGCATTGTCAACCGAATGGTATAAAGGAGGGGACAGGTGCCACAAGTACATTACCATTAATGGAAACGGGAGGAGTGTGAAGGCGATGGTTGTGGATGAGTGTGATTCTACTATGGGGTGTGATGCCATACATGACTATCAACCACCTTGCCCTAATAATATCGTTGATGCTTCCAAAGCAGTTTGGAAAGCCTTAGGGGTATCCGAAAGTAACTGGGGAGATTTGGATATTACTTGGACAGAATGATATGTGAATCTCTAGCTTCTTGTAAAATGTCAAAAACCAATATTTGTGTTTTTCATTCGTGTGAATATTGTAATATCTTGGAAAGGTGTTTATGTAACTAAATTGGGTATTGTATTCTATACGAATTGTGGGGTGTAATTTGTAATAGAGGTGAACATACGGATCTACGAGACTTTTTTTGTCTTGGACCAGTTACTTGTCACTAAAATCAGATGGGTGGTCCAAAATCATATAAGATGCGCGCTTTTTAGTCAAACCAATTTTTCAATGGGCCTTTATTTTTGCATTGCACGGTTTTTTTATAGTAATAAATAAATAATGCATCATATACAAATACAAAAGCTAGATTATTATAATAATAATCTAGATTTTTAAATAACACAGTTTCGAAGGTTGTATGCATTAAACTTTTATTTTAGAACATCCTTCAAGGCTTCAACTTATTTTTCTTGTTGGCCAACTTTTTTTGTTTCAAAAGATCAAGCATAACCCAAAACAATGAAGTAAAAAAGTTAGTGATCAAAATTACAGCTTCTAATAATAAACATCAAGAGTTATATATAGTGAAGTAGCATTTTTCATATAATAGCAGATCTATTAAAATATATTAGGTTTTACTTTTAGTTAACTTAATAAGTAGGTAGTGAGAAAGTTGTGTTTACTTCCGGTTAAGTGTCTAGGACAAAATTTTGATGATGTTTGTTTTGGAAGAAGTAAATGTATTCGGTCTTTTTTCATGTTTACGGATTAGATATGGACACTTTTTTCCCATGTCTTTAGTCTTAATAAAAAAAATTATTTGTTTTTTAAAGTCTACAAAAAATAATGGTGATGGTAAAACTTTCTCAAAAAAAAATTTAATGTATGCTAAAAGAAAATAATAGTATAATATAAATTCTTTTAACAAATAAGATAATATGAGATGGCGTAAAATGATAATTGTATATTATCTTTCTAAGTAGTAGCCGATATTAAAACATGATAATATATATTGTTTTGAATCTGAATTTTAGCATCAGTCATAATATATAAATTTTCAGGATTGATAAAAAAGAGAGCACCTGATTATCTTTTTTTTTTTTTTTTTGCAACTGTTTTTGTGGAATGATATTTTTGATAGACTATCTGCTATTCAGAAGTTTAAAACTTCAACAGACATGTTTGAGAATAAAATCTTTTTTATATATTTACGATCTGTTTATTTCTAAGGATTGACAATCCTTATGTAGCATGTTACATATATGCATCTATTATTGATACCATCAAAAGACAACACGACAAACTATTGCTAGTCAATTACACATATATATTAATTTTTACTAGCCATATCAAACACGTTTATAGACTTAGAACACTGGACACACATTACACAACTATATGACACACATACTATAAGATACATCACAATTATTACATTTTTTATATCATAATTATTACGGAGTATATTTTTAATAGGTGATGGTATCGTGCTTGAACAGCATACTGATACTTGATGTTCTTATCTCTTACCCCGGATTATCAAAAGTTGAACTTCATTGTGTGTGTCATTGTTCCATTATTGCTGTTTCTTCTAGATTCTTGGTGGTGGTGGCAGGGGTGGTGGCGGAGGTGGCGCAAGTAGGGCAGAGGCGGTGGTGGCTCTCACTAAATTAGCACGAGAACCTTATTTGATTTTTACTCGGAACAGAAGCCACGAGTGGGTCTCCCTAAATTGTATTCTAGTGATTATAATAAACGTTTATCTTATAAAATGACTCAAAATAATTACAATTTTATAAATCTAACTTAGTGTAAAAGTTAATATTTCATCATTAATGTCGATGGCATTATTATTTGCAAAAAATTTAACAATATTGTTCTATTATACGCAAAATGTTATCTAAGTTAAAGCATATTACATTTGGATTTTGAGTTGGGGAAAAGTGATAATTTATATCATTATCATATCACATTCACATTTATCATGTAAAACAATAAACAACCGTGGAAATATAACAAAAAGAAAAAGGTAAAGAGACGAATGCAATACAAAAACAAATTTGATATAAACATAAGGTCAAATGGGCCTGAAGAGAAACTAAAATTACATTAAAAACACAGAGCTTTATGAACAGTCACTATATTTTTCAACTAAACTAAATAAATTTCATGGTCAAAACTCACGAGTCAGTACTTCCAATTGTTCTTTGTTTGCGTCTTCGTTTTCTTCTAAAGAATGGATCCACCCAGTTTGTGTCATCCTTTGCTGCTTTTTCCCACCGCTGTTTGAACGTTTTTAGCTCCATTGTTGATTGCCTCCTAATCTGCATCCCATATGTAATATGTTAACTGTGCTTAAATTCATACTACAAACATTTACGCTAAAGTTTATTTCGTAAAAAATATTAATAAAAGTTTCCAAGCATTTTCAAAAAGATAAATCGCCTTACCTCAGCTCGCATATCAACAGTGTGTCTCTGAAGAAAAAGAAAAAAAAAATGAAAACATAAATATAACTGAAGTGGAGTTGAGACAGGCAATAAATTGAAACCACTAGGGATTTGTACCTTTGTTAAATCTGAATCATATGGAGTCTACAAGAAAAAAAAAATCACAATGTAATTAAATTAATCAATAAGTGAAATGATTAGGGGAAATATTAAATGGAATTAGTTAAGAGGAAACCTTTTTGGCAGAGGGTCCGCCTAATGATTGTATTCCCTGATGAACAACATATTCTCTGTCAACAATTCCCACTTTCTTGGATCTGTCCCCCTGAATGAATAGTAAGTGAATTCATCAAAATCTATAGTATGATGAAATTATAAACAAATACAAAAAACATGTTTTATTGGTTGAAAGTTGAAACTTACCTGAGCACAATACCCGAGTTTTATATCCATTCCCCATCCATGAACAAGGTCATTCTGAATAAGATGCCAAGCACAATGCCATGCAGCCCTGGAGAAAACCGGAGCCATTCCTTCCACAAATCTGCAATTTAAATATCACATGTCTTTTTATTATTAAAAAAAAAAAAAAAAAAAAAAAAAAAAGTAAAAGTAAGTTGCTATTTTATGGAACTTACCCGGAACATGGTGGGCCATTACTGGTATCTGAACATTTCACACTGCCTCTGCTGTCATACACTCTTCTGTTTATTTAAACAAGTTATGGGCGTATTAAGAATAATTAAACACGTAATAGTTTTATAAGTATAAAGTGGAAATAATTAAATATTCACCTATGAAATTTACTTGTTCTTTTTCGTACTGTGATCCTATGATGTATACCGGTTGAATTTGGATCTAAGGCTGGCTGTGATATCTCGAATCCTTCTGTTCTAACAATATCCAAGTATCTGCAAATATATGTCATACAATAATTTACCACCATTTTTGTCAATAAAAAGCATTATTTCACCACATGAAGGACTATTAAATAAAAATAAAAGTTGGATAAAACTGATGGCTTAGATACAACAAATATACCTTCTGGGATTAAAATGCTGCACACCAAGATCTTCATCCCAAAGAAATATATAATCATAAATAGACACTGCAGCTGGATGCAGAAATCGTTTTGCAAACCACCTGAAATAACTTTGCTATTTAATATATAATATTTATACCAAAAGAACACCCAGAAAGTGCATAATTTGAAACAGAGTCAAATGCAAACTCATTACCACTTTGTTTGGTTTTGAGCTACAACATGTATGGCATTATTGCTCCACTCAAGATCTTGCCAACCATCCAACATTCCATCATAATGGAACAACACAATTGTAAAATTTTCTTGAAGAAACTGAAATTATCAATGTCAGGCTCTGATATTATTCACAAATTAAATTTTTATTCATCATTGTACCTTTTGAACAATTGTATTCACATTACGCTTCTGTTTCAAACCCACTGGAATTGCCAGCAAGTTATGTGTAGTGGAAATATTAGCCTGCAACCATAAATTTTACTTTATTTTACACCTAACCACAATGTACTCATATTTTTTTTTTACCCAAAATAGAAATATACTTAGTTTACAGAAATAATTAAAATTGTCTAACCTCTGACTTTGAACTACTTGTTGACCATAAAGGTTTTAATTCCAAGTCTGATTTAGCTTCAATAATACCACGAGGTAAACCCTTCAAGCTTGTGGAAGCTGACACAGTTTCCTAAAACACACACACCAAAAACCACATTAACACAAATCAGAGAACAAATAAACTCATATTTTTAAACAGATTCTGGTGAGCTGCACCTTTGATGTGTAGAACCGATATAATTTTGAGTCCAGCTGATGACACAGACAAATAAAAAATTATTAGTTAATTAGTTTTAGTCCAATTAAAAGCATAGTAATTGGAAGTATGTTACCTCTGTCTCTAAATACTGATAATTGGTTGTTCTATATACAATGTATAACATTATTGTACAGACAACTCCCATGAATGATTTCATCTTGAATCTGCTAAGTTCCTGCATATTTAAGACCTCTGTATGATGAGAATTTAGAATCCCTTTTGCAATGTCAACAATGTAGATTTACAGAGTTTGCCTCAGAATAAAACTGAATTCAATTAAATAAGCTTACCCAATCAAAAAGGATGTGTCTCTTCTTCAATAGATTCCTCCATGGTTTAGATTCTCTCATAGACAGATACTGTTCTTATATGTTCTCATGCCAAACTGCAGCCATTAAATTGAAGAAAACATCAATAAATTATAAAACTTGACACCTTTGTAATAAATGAGCACACAGATAATTATCAGTGATTCAGAATCTTCAGCTAGACTGTTAAAGCAGTTATGCATTTATAATGGTATACGTTTCTCAAGGAAGTCAGATATTGAGCTTTGGCAGGATTTATGACAGAGCCCCAATAAGCTCTTACTGGATGTGCCAATTAAGCAAAAGACAATAAAACATCATATGTTTGCTGTTGCACATCACTTTCAAGTCAACATATTAACAGTTTGAAACTTCTTGAAAAGTAATCAACCCTGATAATGCAGTAT